ACGGCTTTCTATTACTAAGAACTTTAATATTGATGATGATAATATTGATAGTGATAAGCACGTTGAAAACAAGGACATAGAGAGAGAACCTGAAAAAATAGAATATTGCGAGGGAATCGTTATGTTTAGAGAACAAGGACAACAGTTTTTGCCATTTTCTGTCTTGCAGTCAAAACTTTGCAAAAGACCGCACTTTTTGAAATGGTCACATTTTGAGAAAAGTATCGTTGAAGGCAATAACGTCGCGGCCCGGGCCGGACTAAAATGTTGAAACATTTTTGCCTGGACGATGAATTCCGTGAAAAACAGAGAAAATAATAACCAAAATCCTATTAACTTTTTCCAAAGAGGACTAAAACAAATTGTAAAAGATTGATAACAGGGGTAGAATGGCCTTTAAATTTGTATGCACCAGGGGCGTATGCGCACGGTACACATGTGCGTACCTGAAAAAGAACCGGGTGTAAAAAATATAATTATATCACATAAAAAAATTAACTGAAAAAAAGGAAATAAATAAAAAGCATAATTTTCCTCAATCTTCATTTAGTTCTGCTTGATCAGAGAATGCAACTGCAGTACTAAACCTAATTGGCGTTTTAACAGATCAGTTTACTGTTAGACATGTTTAAAGTACTTTGCCCACGGAAGATGGAAAATATACTGCGTGTATTTGCGCGGCTCCTTTGACTGAAGAAACGACTGAAGGTAGACCAAGGTAGGGTAACTATAAAGATGGGATAAGAGAGGATTTTAAGAAGGAACGCCAAACTTACGCGCGTATCCCTGTGCGTGGCGCGTCGAGATCAACGTGGTTTCAAAAAGGAACTTGATCAGGATTCAGTCATCTTGGCAGAAAGAGATTAGTCGATATTTTAAACCAAGAGGGAATGAGGAAAATTCACTTCACCTTCATTTGCCTAGCCTGCGAGAGCATCCGGTTTCACCCCCCGAAAAACTAGAAACTTAAGCCGAAAAAACCGGATGCTCTCGCTGACTCGCAGGCTATCATTTGCCAAACTTCGTTGAACTTCGCGCGTCAGGAGCGTTGTAAGACCCAGTCTCTGACGGAGACATCACGAGGCTTCTCAGCTGTTATCCCCTTCTTCCAAATTACCCCACCCATCCCACCCCTCTGCTACATTGGACTTTGAACTTCCCATGGTCTCCCTTAGGAATGAGGTTAAGGCATAGGTCGCACTCGGAAAAAGTTTTCATCTTTGCCGGCTAAAAACCACGAAAATCGAAACCGCAACCGGAAAAAAGACAACTTTTAGTCAAATCGAGGAGGGTCGCACAATTATTTACTAGTGGGAGTTAATTGTCGTTGTTCTGACACATTGAGAACTAAAGTAGGCCAGATACCAGAGAACATTATCTCTTCGTAGTCCGATCATTTGGCGTAGGATCGTTTTCCTCCTTTCCCAGTTTCAGGAGGATGAAAGAAATATAAAAATACCGGTATTTTTTATTTGAAGAGCATCTTAGTCTGTACATCAAGCTTTTCAAAGGGGAAAGTCTTCGTCTTTATAAGCCTACTCCCCCCCCCCCCCCCCCCCCAACATAACAGCTGGGAGCGCTATCGGGGCTCTGGTAATGGGACCCACTCTAAATGCACTCTTATCTAAAGTTGGTTGGAAGAACACCATGAGGTTCCTCGGGGGCGTTGCTTGTATTTTGGTGTTCGCTGCGTGTAGCTACAAACCACCGCCTGTGAAAAGAGAACCTGCGAAAAAGAAGACACTGATAGACTTGTCTGTTTGGAAAAATAAAGGATTCATTGTCTGGGCGTTGGCACTCGGCATATTTAATCTGGGTTACTTTGTTCCTTACGTCTATTTGGTAAGTTTGAATTTCCTTCTGTCCTTCATACAAACTTTTCTATTTTTTTGCGTCGACGAAGGAGACGCCCCCTAATCGAGTCGTTAGGTTTTTGACTATCCCTATGTAACCCAGCTAGTTACGAAATTCCCTAATGCGACGCACCATAATCTTTGATTACTACTAGTAGGAGGTTATGATTATAAACCGGAGTTAATAAAATACATCGTCTACCTGAAATAGATTCAATATCTGACCATGATCTGGATAATTCCTGTACTCACAAAAAGTGCTAAGAGTTGCCGTTGAAAGTCTTGAAACGTTGCTTCTTTAGAAGACGTCTTTTGTTGTTGTCCGGTTTCTCTTGACTAATAAAATGCTTAGAACAGTTTTTTTGCTCTTTCAATCAACAGCCGACCCACGCAACCTACTTACAGATCCCCGAATCCAAGGGGTCGTTCCTCATCGGCTTTCTTTCGGTTGGTTCCTTATTTGGTCGACTCTTCTTCGGTCATATTTCGGATCTTCAATGGGTCAATCGTCTGTATCTTTACCAGACGGCACTGTTGGTGATGGCTGTTACGACTACTCTCTGCCCGCTGGCCACCACGTACTACGGGCTGGTTGTCTACACGCTCTTGTTTGGAATATTTGATGGAGCGTTTGTATCACTGATCGCCGTCCTTACCGGAGATGTTGTTGGTCATCATAGGCTGTCTTCAGCTCTAGGGTTTTTATACCTGGTATTCTCCGTTCCAATTATGACAGGCTCACTTATCGCAGGTATGATATCAAACAACAAAATGGCAAACGGCTCACACATTAACTAGCCAGTGGCTGGTCACCCTCGCAGCCCTTTTTGTGTCGTCACGCGATGCTCCTCCCCAACAGGAGCGTTGCGTGACGAGACAAACACGGTTGCAGGGGAGACCAGCGAGTGGCATGACCGCCGACCTCGTTTCCAGAGGCCGCGATGCCTTTTGGTAGGCGACGCGATGGGGATCGCATGACAAAAGCGACCCCTGGGGACGAGGTTGCATGCCCGCCAGGACGTAATCGGCTCCTGATGCCCGCCCAATCCGCCCAACTTACACACAGGGAACCCAGTGCAATTCATACGGGAAACTTACTTTACGTGTAACAGAACCCTCCCCCGAAAACCCGTAAATATCCCCTTTCGAGAGATATTTTGTTTGTATTTGTTGTTTTATCTTTTGAATAAAGTATTAAATTATCTAACTTGACTAAAATGGCGTAAGTCCTCGTTGAAAGTAGGCAAGGCAAAAGTAGAGTAATTCTTGTTTTTACAACTGTTAAAAAGTGTGTGATACCATTTTCTGATTATTATTCTTAAGTTCTTCACTGCGACACCAACATTATTTTGTTTTCTCAGGCTTCCTAAGTGACATCACAAGTACTTATAACGAGACTTTCTACTTCTCTGGTGCCGCCATTGCTCTCTGTACAGGCCTGTTATCATTCGTTCCGGTTTTAACGCCCATGAGATCACGTGGCGTCAAAGAGATGAAAATGACCTCTGATGAGCTCGGCAAAAAGCGAAGATCTTCGTTCTTTGAAAAATATGTGCAAAGATACTTAAGCTCTTCGGAGCCTGAGCCTTCTGAAGTTGAGGAGTACTTGTTTGTGGTGGACAAAATCACAGCGGTGTGATCTTCCTAGCCATGAGAATATGATCATACGATGGTGAGAAGAATTAAACCGCGACAATGTACTGCACTGTAAGACAGTGAAAACGGCTTTCTATTACTAAGAACTTTAATATTGATGATGATAATATTGATAGTGATAAGCACGTTGAAAACAAGGACATAGAGAGAGAACCTGAAAAAATAGAATATTGCGAGGGAATCGTTATGTTTAGAGAACAAGGACAACAGTTTTTGCCATTTTCTGTCTTGCAGTCAAAACTTTGCAAAAGACCGCACTTTTTGAAATGGTCACATTTTGAGAAAAGTATCGTTGAAGGCAATAACGTCGCGGCCCGGGCCGGACTAAAATGTTGAAACATTTTTGCCTGGACGATGAATTCCGTGAAAAACAGAGAAAATAATAACCAAAATCCTATTAACTTTTTCCAAAGAGGACTAAAACAAATTGTAAAAGATTGATAACAGGGGTAGAATGGCCTTTAAATTTGTATGCACCAGGGGCGTATGCGCACGGTACACATGTGCGTACCTGAAAAAGAACCGGGTGTAAAAAATATAATTATATCACATAAAAAAATTAACTGAAAAAAAGGAAATAAATAAAAAGCATAATTTTCCTCAATCTTCATTTAGTTCTGCTTGATCAGAGAATGCAACTGCAGTACTAAACCTAATTGGCGTTTTAACAGATCAGTTTACTGTTAGACATGTTTAAAGTACTTTGCCCACGGAAGATGGAAAATATACTGCGTGTATTTGCGCGGCTCCTTTGACTGAAGAAACGACTGAAGGTAGACCAAGGTAGGGTAACTATAAAGATGGGATAAGAGAGGATTTTAAGAAGGAACGCCAAACTTACGC